TTTTTATAGTTCAGATTCGCAAAACTTGAGTTTTACATTTAGAGTCTCCCATAATTAAGGAAACGAAGAATCATCGAGCTTAGCCTATAGCTATTATGGTAGACAATAACCTCTGCATTCGACTATCCTGTATATGCAAGACTGGGAAAGAACGCGTACCCGCTGCTGTTCTAAGCGTTCATCCTAGAACAATTTTATTATTCATTAAATGGTTCTAAGGAAGTAGTAATATAATCAGCGAGTGTTGCCGAGTAGGTTATTTTGGAGATTCGATATCAGGTTTTTCATGTAAGTTTTAGGAAGTAGATTGCTTCAAGCAAGAAACAACGACGATTATTTTGAAGGCACATCTCATATCAGATTTAAGCAACACTAGTCAAATCATTGCTTGACCAAGAAAACAATGTGCACTACAATCTTTGAGAGATAATAGAGGTGCAAAAAGTCGCGAGCGTATCGATGCTCGTTCCCCGCCCCCTCCCCGACGCCAAGTACGTGAGCCTACGATTTTTTGTAATCAGTCACTGCATCTGGATGCTTAGATGTATCTCGCATAGCACTTTCAAGATAAAATCATTTCCCTTCGTTTTCTTGAATGTGATCGATATGGATGCACACAAATTGGCTGTCTTTGCCTTACAGTTATTGTTGCACTGTTAATCCGTATGAGCAGCTACTCCAATTCAACGTGCTTCTTTACAGAAATTATATGAGTTTACACGATTCTGCTTAAGTAGTCTGATAAAGATTGAATCACTTCACTTTAAAAATGACTTATTTTGGCCAAAAATTTGCAAATCAATGCCATCAGACCACTGACCACTTTATAGAGTAGCCTACGTTATGTCCGAGATGTGTGTGTGCATAGTTTGGGCTTTATCAATCCAGGAAAAATTAGTGTAGAATCAGAACATAGATACATACACATTCATGCGTACATATATACATACACACAGGCATACACACAATATACTGATATTTGATTAGCAAAATTGAAGCTCCTGGACACTTCAAGTTACTTCTGTAGGAATTTGCCGAATTTTTGAGGAATCCCCGATGACCCCATTGATTACACAGCCTGAGCATAGTTGCGCTTCTAACAACTGTTTGATTTGTGACCCTCAAAGGCGGAATAACGTGAGTTAGGTCGTTCATTCATTTGTTTGCAACTCTACAACCCATTACGCTCAAATGGACAGACAA